CAAGAAAAATACTAAGATTGTTAGGTTTTTTTTTGTTCGTGAGCAAATCCACATAAAAGAACATTTTGAGAATTGAAGTGACCATCTAAACAAACCGTAAGTGTCGTATGGCCTGAGTTTTTTTAAATTTTATTTTACAAGCATGTCTTTTCACACCAGTGAAATAAATTTGATCAAGAATCTTCTTAGGCAATACAGAAGCTGTACCTTTGCCAGCGATTTCCTTTATCACTAACCTGTATCTCAAGCTGTGGTCAAAGTCAACATTACTCTGAGGAGTAATTGATCCATTGAAAGCATAAGGCTGCAAAACATTATCAGATGCAAGCCATTAGAAGCCAATAAATGTAACCGAATGCATTAAAAAAACTAAAAAAATCAGCTTAACATGCTTCAAGTACCCCATAAGTCAGAAGCAATCCTTGTGGCTTCAGTATTTTTCCAACACCATTAAACAAACCCTGAAGCAGGCGAAAAAAATATTAGGTGATTTAGAATGCAGACATTCAACAAATAGAGAGAAAGAGAAAGAAAAGTAAGCACGCTTAATACCATTGTGCAGGTCGGAGGTGAGATGTGCATCATGTTGATGTTCACGATGAGATCACATGACTCGGGTTGAATTCCAGCCCAGTTCTCCCAACTCTGAGACACATCGAGATAGATGGGTGGCTTGACATTCTGCAGCTTATGATACTCTCTATATGCCTCAATACTGCAATACAAAAATGAAATCACAAATTGGTTCTTAAAATAAGTCATTAGACATTTAGCATTCAATAGCAGGAATGAATTTATGGTATGCAGCCTAATCTAAAGAAGAGTCGGGACTCAGGAGGGACTTTGAACTAACCTTTAAAGGGTAGTTCACCCAAAAGTTTAAATTGCCATCATTTACTCAGTTCTTCCAAACATGTATGAGTTTCTCTCTTGTGTTAAACACAAAAGAAGATATTTTGAAGGATGTTAGTAAGCAAACAGTTGGCGGTAGCCATTGAATTCCATAGTATTTTTTTCCATCCTATGGAAGTCAATGGCTGCCGCCAACTGTTTAGTTTCCAACATTTTCCAAAATATCACCTTTTGTGTTCAACAGCTGGAAAAAAATTGAGGTTTAGAACAACTTGAAGGTGAGTAAATAATGACAGAATTTTCATTTTTGGATGAACTATCCTATAGCTCTGTCAGAATATGTGTTTGTAATTGGACTATACTTAATTATTTCTCTGTTATTTTTAATTAATGAGTTAATTTCTGTGAATTAGCTTGGGACAAAACCCCAAACTTTAATGTTAGCTCTTTCAATAAAGGGTGAGAGAATTGCCTCTATTTTTTTTTTCTTGTTGACAGCAATGACATTCAGGACATTATATTTCTGACTAACACAAGAAATGAAGTAGGGCAACTTGATTTATCCATCGAGAATTGATTGGATTGTTTCATTTCTGTCGTTATTTGCTATTATTCCGTTAAAGTTTATTATATGAACTGGTATCATTTCAGTACCTAAATGATTACGTGGATATTATTTAACAATATTTATTACGCCTGCGTGACGTTCGCTCTAAATGAAATCGTTTCGGAAGCAATAATTTGAATTTTGTGAAAGATTAGATTACATCGTTTTTTTTCCTTTTGGAATAACGTGAATTTATGAATAATGCTAAGATCAAGAACGTGTACTTTGAAAGACCTCTACATTAAAAAAAAATATCATTCGTTTTTTTACTAACTAGACTACTAGAGCAGTGGTTCCCAACCCTGGTCCTGGAGGCACCCCAACACTGCACGTCTTGCATGTCTCCTTAATCAAACACACCTGATTCAGGTCATCAGCTCATTAGTAGAGACTCCAAGACCTGAAATTGGTGTGTCAGAGAAAGGAGACATGCAAAATGTGCAGTGTTGGGGTGCCTCAAGGACCAGGGTTGGGAACCACTGAGTTAGAGCACAGCTACAAAAGGTTTCTAAAAGTGACTGAACAGCGGTATCTAGTGACAGATGTCTGCACCTGCACTCTGAGCAAACTTTGGTAAGTGAACTGTCATTATCACAAGATTGCACGGGGAAATATCAATTAAAGGGTAGATTAAAGGATTATTTCAGCAAGTATTTCAATCACGTGCCTCTTTATTATTCAGTTAATGAGATTTGTTTTCATAACTTGAATAGTTTCAACCAATGCATTTCTGCAGCAGCGTGAATGTAACTCTGGTGCATAAGAGATTGAGAGATTTCATGTCTACATCTAAAGGCAAGAATTCAAGATAAATCAAGGTGTTGCGCATATTTACCTCGATATGGACTGCGCTTCAATTTCAGACGGTTGCCATGAAATGTTGGGAAACGCTTTGGCAAAGTGAATAACATGCTGTCCTGTGCCAGAAGATATTTCCAGAGCGACCAGAGGCCTGTCTGATGCCACTCTGCTTTTTAAAACAGCGAGGATCGGGTCTTTGTTTCTGTCGGCTGCTGCAGCATTCAGCATTTTACACATCCGACGACAAGTTCCTGGAACCAAGAGCAAAACGTGAATGGCTATAACAACAGCAACTGGAAGAAGCGACGTAAGTCAGCCAACCAGAATCCAACAAGACCTTTACAAGCTGCGAAGTACGGCGATCCGAAACACTTCCTAAATTGTGCAAACGCCCAAAACAAATCCATGCATTTCGATGATGGCGGCTCACACCAGGTCACGTGAGATGCTCCTTCATTTCGTAACGGCGCAGAATTGCAAGGTTGCAAAAATAACTTTTTAGCCAGTAGGGTTGTTAACTATTCACTCCGTTGAGCGGTTTAATGCACAATCTCTACTGAAATGCAATACGATTTAGAGTGCAATGCATTAGATTCCACATCCCATAATGCATCGCGCTTCAACTTCCCTTTTTTTGCCTTCAAAAAGTGGCGCTTAAAGTCGAAAGAGTCTGTGAATACGCTCCGTGCAAACGTTTGGGATCACTACGAGATTTTTAGGAGTCAGCAGCTAGAGGTACAGAGAGTGCAGACATCAATACTTGTCTTAGTTGCTATGGGGCTTCAACTTCTCTCTGGTCCAGTTTGTTTTCTGCTTTGCACAAGCCATTGAAACAGCCTTCATATGTTAAGAGAAAAATAATGCATTTTTAAAGAAACATGTCTCTTTAAACATGTCTCATTGTCATTTTTTTGAACAAAACTGAACTGTAGAAATAGCCAAGAAGAATAGAAGCGGCTGAAGATGACTCAGGTGAGCTCATAGTTGTGGTGTAGTTTGCTCTATTTTAGCTTGGAGGTATCAGTGCGAGAAGTGTTGCAGTTGTGCAGAATACTATACTTCATTACAACAAGAAAGCCAAACCATAATGCATTAGAATATAATGTAGAATTATGTGTTGCAATACAATGCAACAAAAACAAACAGTTCACAGATTCAGCGGTTCAAAGGCACCCAAAAAGACTTCATATTATAGTTATGTGAAGTTTGTTTAATTGGTGACTTACTAAAGCTTTATTTATGGGTCAAAGACAAGATGTCCCATTTTGTTGTCCGCGTCAAATGAAATGTACAAAAATCATTTACAAAAAAGCATATTAAATGCAAGTAAAGTGTCCACTTTAATGTTTCAAATAACTCTTGTGAAAATAAAATGTCAAAATATTGGTGAAATAATTGCATCATCATTCAGTGACCGATATGTTAAATGAAAAAATATATATACATGTAAAAATATAAAAGAAAAAGTTATTACACAATTGTTATTATTTTTAATGAATAAAAACTTCTCGCTGAGCTGACAAATGGGTGAAATCCTGTTTGTTTGAATGATGCCTTTTAATGTCATTAATGATTTTTGCTGTTTCCACTGTGAAAGTATGATAGTCGATATTTTTTGCTCAGAAAAAATGAAATTAAGCAGCACATCTTTAAGGTACAGAAAAAAAAAATCAGTGGCTGGTGGTGAAAGCGCGCCACCCTGCGGGTATCTATGGCATTTTAGTGTAGGTAATTTATTTTGTATGCATTTTTATTGCTCCTTTTTTTTTTTTAAGATTTTTTTTTTATTACAGATGACCATCTAAATAATAAAAAAAAGGAAATATAAAAAGCTTGGATATGACAAAAAAATACAAAGTATCACTTCAGAAACATTTACAGTAGTTTGATTATTATTATTGTTGTTATTAGTTTTTTTTTAAAATTTTTATTCAGAACATCAGAACAAAGTCCGCGTATTATACTCGACTTTGGGCTTCTTCTTTTTGTAAAGTTGCGTGAAAAAATCCCTGGTTGCGGTTGTTTGGGCTTATTTAAAAAAATATGGTTGCTTGTTAGGGAAATCTGACAAGCAACTTCGTTTCTTTATTTATGTTCGCCGTATTCTCCAATGCATTGAATGACACTCTGCTCGCAGTTAATAGCCAACCAGTACAATATTATAAATGCTGCAGCGTAATTTGCCAAATGTCCCGCCCCCTCCTCGCCCTCATTGGAGAAAATCAAGTTCAGAAAGAAGGCGCGTGACGCTGTAATCCAAGAGATGGTAGAAGTAGACGCAGAGGCGTGGGATGGCTTTCTTTTAGCCTAATTCTTAATGTTTTACAATGTTTTTGTAATGTATTAATTATCACGGGTTGTAATAAAAAAAAACAAGTAGTTCTATACTAATACTAAGAGTAAATATGGTTCGAATAGCCTATATTTTAGTAGGCTATGCTATAAATATGTGGCTATGTTACACAGCTCCCCTTTGAAGCGCTTGTGTTTTTCTCCTTTTCCATCTCTCCAATCCTATTCTGCTCACAGGTGATTGGAGATGAGTTTTGTTCCCACTTTTGTTGCAGTGTGCTGATTTTTGTAAATAGCTTCTGTTTTAGTGGTTTCAGTTTGATATGTTGCAGGCTCATTTATTGGTAATAAATAATATTGATGATGATAAATCATCAAAAAAAATTTGGGGCTTGTTTTTGAAGCTGCGGTTGCTTATTTGTCTCGCGAGAGTTGGCAACAGTGGACGCAGTGTGTTGCAGTAAAATAGCACCGTGCAGAAAATATGACAGAAGCGTAACTTCACTGATGACTCTTCAAGTGCAGTATGTCGAGACAAACATTACTAACACAACAGCACGCTTTACAGTGTTTGGGAACGGCGCTCGGTGCTGTACTGTTGAGATCTATCGCCACTACTCACAGATTGCCTCCTCAAGCAGATGAAGCGTCCCTTTATGTCCACGTGAGTGTCTAAACACGTCTGTCAAAGCCAGTCACTGGCAAATACATAGAATGTCAAATTTATTCTGTTTTACCTGTCTGTATTTCTCCTTTTTACAGTGGCCCTATTGCCTAAAAAGATGCTCCTACTGCAACTTCAACAAGTATATTCATCGGAGTCAAAACCACGCGGTCATGACAGCATGTCTGCAGAAAGAGACACAAACCTTACTGCAGCTCAGCCAGGTCTCCAGGTCAGTGTGCAGAGATACTGTCAAATAATATGCTCTAAAGCAGTGAATCTCAACATTTTCGTACCGGACCGGACCCCAGTCCAATTCAGAACCATCCTCAAGGACCCCCAGAACAAAACTGACTCATCTATGTATCCTTTGTGTCTTTGTGAGGACCAAATGCAGTCAAGTATAATTCAAGTTAGTTGACTTGTCCAGTATTTGGCCATATCATCAGCTATATTGGATTTTTCTTTCATGGGAACATGTCATGTCAAAATATACAAAATGTATACAAAAATTCATACTTTATACGGACCCCCTGGCCTTATGTTAAGGACCACTAGGGGTCCATGGACTGGTTGAGAAACACTGCTCTAAAGAGTATAAAGTATAATAAAAAATAAAATATCTAAACACATTCTTTTAATTTTCTCCTTTTTGTAAGAAATGACAAAATACAGGTTTGGAACAAGGTGTGGGTAAATAATGACAGAATGTTTATGTTTAGGTGAACTATATCCCTTTAATTAATCCTGTGCTGTCCTGTAGGATCAGCTCAGTGTTTTTTGGAGGAGGAACACCCAGCTTGGCTCAGCCCTCCACAATCGCTGCTGTCTTGGAGACCGTCTCCAAACACGCTCATCTCTCAGATGAAGCAGAGGTCACTCTGGAGGTGAACCCTACACCTGCTGGAAAAGCTAGTCTGAAAGACTTCACGTTAGCAGGAGTTAACCGGTTTTCTGTTGGAATTCAGGTACAGTTAGGTCCATATATATATTTGGACACTGACACAATTTTCATAATTTTGGCTCTGTATGCCACCAGAATAGAATTAAAATGAAACAATTAAGATTTTTAAGCTTTAATTCAAGGGGTTGAACAAAAATATAACAAAATGCTTAGGAATTACAACCATTTTTATACACAGATTTTTGCTGTAAATAATGCTGGGGGGGGGCACTGAGCTTTAATTTGAGCTCAAATATTCATTATATAACTAACTTGAATATGTTTTGGTCAACAGCTAAAATAATATAAATTGTGCTTGTGTCCAAATATATATGGACCTAACTGTATGCTGCATGCACATGATGTTACATAGTTTTGACCAAGTCTCCATAGATCTAATGCTATTCTCCACAGTCGCTGAATGATGATCACCTGAGGACACTAGGAAGGGATCACGATTCCCAGCATGCTCTCTGGACAGTGTCAGAGGCCAGGACGCTCTGCCCGGGATGCGTGTCAGTGGATGTCATGTTTGCGCTTCCAGGACAAAGTGTAAAATCATGGGAGAGTGAGCTGGAGAAATTGCTGCCGGTTTGTGATGATCACATTTCACTGTATCAGCTGACTTTGGAAAGGGGTACGCAGCTTTTTAAACAGGTTGACAGCGGTGAACTAACTGTGCCTGGTGACGATGTCACAGCTGTTATGTACAATTCAGCACGGGGAGTCTTGGAGAAAGCTGGGTTTCGTCAATACGAAGTGTCCAACTTTGCCAAAAATGTAAGTTATCATTGCTTAAATTCTTATAAGGTGAAAAAAAAAAAGAAGTTCCTGTGTTGGATTCCTAGGTGTACAAATAAAATGTAATATGCTCTGTATAAAAGTATCTGCCAAATGAATAAATGCTACATTATATACAGTAAATAATCAAAATGTGGAAATAGTAGTTTATGGATTGTGTTTATTGTAGAAAGCTGTCAGTGAACACAATATCGGGTACTGGAAGGGACGTCAGTACATCGGTATAGGACCAGGTACATTTGTGCACATACACTACTGTTCAAAAGATTTTTTTAAAAAAGAGATTAATGCTTTTGTTCAGGAAGAATGCATCTAATTGGTCATAAGTGAAAGTAAAGAGATTGATAATGTTACAAAATATTTATCTTTTACATAAATTGTTCTTTTGGTCTTTTTATTCATCAGAGAATCCTTAAATGTATCATAGTTTCCATAAATATATGAAGCAGCACAACTGTTTTTAACACTGATAATAAGGAATGTTTCTTGAGCAGCAAATCAGTATATTAGAAAGATTTCTGAAGGATCATGTGATCATACTGGAGTAATGATGCTAAAAAATCAGCTGCGCATCACAGAAATAAATATAATTTTAACATATTTTCAAATGGAAAACAGTTATTTTAAATTGTAATAATGTCAATATTATTATTCATGTTAAATCAAGTGTGATATGTGCATTGCATTTTCAGTTATACATCAATACCCCATTGTTGCTTACTGTTTTTACTGTATTTTTGATCAAATAAATGCAGGCTTGCTGAGCATAAGAGACTTCTTTAAGTCTTACTGACCGCAAACTTTTGTTTTGTGTTCAATATCATCTGTTAGGGGCACATGGACGGTTTGTGCCGCGTGCAGTGGGAGGAGTTCAGAGGGAAGCACGAACCCAGACTTTAGAACCAGATGTTTGGATACGAGAGGTTCAGCGTCACGGTCACGGGACACGCCGCCGAATACAGCTCGACCACCGCGGCCTGTAAGACTATCTCATCTGTAGTCCACACACAACTCGCTGTGGAGCGATTACACAGACTGTTATTGAATCGGATGGAAATTGTATCTGCAGGCTGGAGGAGGTTTTGGTCATGGGTCTGCGTATGAATGAAGGAATCACCCAGCAGGTACAGTGAACCGCTGGATAACATAACATAGGTTTTACAACTATAAAATATTTCAACCAGTTATGTTTTCATTAAAAAAAAGAAACTTTTGGGTGATTACTATTAGTAGTGGTATATTTTGCATTGACATTTTCATAACAATTAAGCACATTTTTAATCAAATTATTATTAGTTATTGACTATTTAAAATGTACAGTATGTTTATTTATTTGTTTGGGTGCCATTTTAGATCAAGCTGATGAAGTGACTGATGCCTTTAATTTTTCTGCTTTATTTTTTATATTGTAGCACTGGAAGTTATTCAGCCCAGAAGATGACCTCCAACAAATTTTTGGGATGTCAGAAAAAGTTCAAGAATTTCAAGCAGGGGGACTTTTAAAACTTAATGACAGGTATTGTTTACTGCTAAAATATTATCTGTGTATTTTTACTTGTTAAATAAACCAAGTGTGATACATTGCATTTTCAGTTACACATCAATGCCCCATTGATGCTTTTCTTTATGCTTTAGGGGTTTGCGGTGTTCCTGGGAAGGGTTAGCATTACTGGACAGCATCTTACCCACAATGCTGCTGGAATTAGAGATGTTTTTCAAAAAGCAGTACACCAGCAGAAAGACAGACATTCAGAGAGACAGATGACAGTTTGCATCAGAGAAATATGAGAAAGATTGCACACAAGGTAATGCATAATAAGGTAAAAATGAAACAAACTCTCCCATGACGAGAAACGTTTAGTCTTGAAGAATGAACATTGGTCAGTGATGTCACATTTTTCTGTTCTTTATTAATTTATTCACAAATGCAGTACGTTCTTTTTTACAATTAGCATGTTTTTATGTCTGAATATAATTTTTTTTTTGGGGGGGGTGCATAAGGTAAATATGTGAGAATATGATCTTGATATAATATTGAAGAAAAAAATCATCTTGAATGGAAAACGATGTTCATTGTTGGCATGAAATAGAAATTTACCCTGTTATGAAAGCATGTGAACACCCGTGCATATGCTTCTTTATTTTTTAAAAGCCTTTTGATTTTGTTTAATCAAAATGTCATAACACTCTAAAAAAAATGCTGGGTTAAATGCAACCCAGTGCTGGGTAAAATATGGACAAACTCAGCAATTGGGTTGTTTTGACCCAGCGGTTGGGTTAAATTAAAACTTACCCAACCTTCTGTGTAGTAACCCAACCGCTGGGTCAAAACAACCCAATTGCTGAGTTTGTCCATATTTTACCCAGCACTGGGTTGCATTTAACCCAGCATTTTTTAGAGTGACATTGAAAATGACAAATTTCTCTCTGGTGACATATGAAGGACATCTCCAATCATTTAGTCCACATAAACCACACCCACAATTCAAAATCCAATCAACAACTATAAATTTTTTTTCTTTGGTGTTAATTTGTTGTACTCTGATGTACGTTACAATATGAAAGAGAAGATCTGCCGCTACTTCCATTTAATTGTGACTTTAACCCCCGGTTTCACAGACAAGGCTTAAGCCTAGTCCCAGACTAAAGTGTAAGTCTGAGCTGTTTTAACTGAAAGAAACTTGCACTGACTGATCTTAAAATATATCAGTGCCTCTGTTTTGTCTCAAAGTGCACACCAGTAATGTTTTTTTTCTAAGGCACATTAATAAAAATTACTTAAATGTCCTAATTGAACTATTGGCTAGTCCTGGCTTAGTCTAAGCCCTGTCTGTGAAACCAGGCCTAAGTTAATTACTTTTTATACTGAAAAAATGAGAAACTAAAAAAAACAAAAAAAGATTAAGATTTGTACTCATGTATTTAAAGTATATGGAAAATATAGTAGTTTTTGTTTGTTTACATCACATGCTAATTTTAGAGTCATCACATTGAAAGGTTTCCGAAAATGGTATGAAAGTTTTTAAAAACCATATGAAACGAATACAGAGTATTTCTAAGAACTTGAGATGTACGTTTTAAACTGGATTTGTAAAATATTGGCAATTTTTACAGTTAATATTTTAAAGTAATATTTTAGGAATCTGTAAAAAGATGAACACAGTAAACTAGATAATTGCCTTCTCTGATCTATGACATTTGATGTGATTGTATTCCCTGCGGGCTTTTATATCTTGAGTTATTTGGCACAGAAGTGATTTCTCATTGCATCTGCCATTTGAAGTTACTCTTCTCCAAACCAACCACGTTCTCAGTTAGACAGAAGGTCATTGAAGAATCATGAATTATTCATTATGCTCCCTATTCACAGTATTATTTCTTGTTTAAGCACAATTAAAATATATTTAGTTATTTTAGATATCATTTTGAAAGTTAGTAATGTAGTTCAGACAACATTTTTCAAGCTATTCATAATAGAAAACGCGTCAAAGTAAACGAGCGGTACGCTGTCCATGGTGCTGAGCGCTGTTTGCATAACGCTACCAAACAATCAGTCATGCACATATCCGTGTATGCACCGAAACGTCTGTGCTATGCTTACTTGTCTTACTGTTAATTTAGGTTATCATTTACTGTTCTCAATATTCATCACTGGATTCATGAATATTCAAAGTCTAAAGGGAATTCATCTCTCAGCTGTGTCGTGTTGTATAATGTCTATTATGCAAAGCATGATTGTACTGTATTGTCCGGGACTCTCACATACAAGTGCGTGGGCGCGTTTTCTTACTAATATGAGAGAATTTTACGCCAGCATAGCGATGATGACTCAAGCCACTGCAGAGGATGAGAACCATGGCTTCACCACCCACTCCTTTCTTCCCGTTGTTCACCCATAAATGGTCATACTGTGATTAAACTGGTTTCTCCTTAAAGCAGAGGCGTAGATACTGTCTGTCAGCAAAACTGAGGTGAGGTGGGAGACACGGTATAAATATAGCTCGGCTCATGAATATTAAATACGTGACGTTACATTCTCTCGTCTTTCCTGTCGATATGTGTCACGATTGATGTTGATTTGGTTGCATCAAGAATCATTTCTCATTATGAATGTTCGACATTTCTGCAACTTCAGGGGAAATTGTTTGCATTGACCCTGATTTCTTGAAAAAGCTCATGCATTTTGAGAAAAAAAAAAACGACGCAATATTTCTTAGAGGCAACTTTATAATTTTTTTTATTGTTGTCTGTAATACAAGACAAAGTGGAAACAAATTTGAGGTAACATAGGTCTATTATCAAGACTCGCTGCGTTTTTTTTATAGTTAGTATAAGAAATGTTGAAACAAATTTCAGGTAATACATTCAACATAAAGAAAACAACATTGTCCTATTGGAAAAAGCATGTCGGTAACTGTTTTGGAATCGGTTTACTCCAACTAATTTAGACCAGCTTTGCACTGAAACAAAAATGGTAACCTGGAAACGGTAACATCAATATTAACTGGTTTTCAAGTCAAATATATGAATTTACATAAATGAACCAATCTAAATACATTAATTTATACCAACAAAACTAATGTTTATGGGGTAAATCAAGTAGAAATGGCTCTTTAGGATAACAATAGCAGGTTACCACTTTCTACAGTGTGGTTGACCAACCTCAGTGTTCCAAAAAAAAAACTACTTTGACCATCGAGTTGCTGGTTTGTTGCTGATCCACCAGTTTGTCTACCAGTTTGCACCCGATAATGACCAGTTTGACCAACTTAAGCCCGATTTTCCAACAGGGTTATAATAAATACATTTCACAAATACTTTGTCAATGTGTAGAATCTGTCCCATGGTCCAGCCAGGGACTTACAGAATATAATAATTCTTACATCGTTGAATAATTATTATTCATAGGTTTGAAACAGAGTCCCTAGCGTTACTCTTTTACTGTATTTGACACCTCTCAATAGGTGTGCTTCGTTTAGGGGTGCTCGGGCCCATCACGCGCCGCAGATCGCTACTGAAACTCGGTCTGCGGGCGAGGGGGTGCACCGCGCCACACGGCTCTTTCATGGCTCTTTTGTTTCTCTTTCTGCTGCTCAGCGCTTGATACGTGTGGATGGAGATGTCTCGATGGAGAGAGGGTCTGGTTTCTGTGGGGAGCCCTCCCAGCACCGCCAGGGCCTCGAACATCTCCTCCATGTTGGTGCAGTCTTTGGCAGACACCTCAAAGAGGACACTTTCCTCCCCGAGAGACTGGCGGATATCGGAGTGCTGCACAGCTCTCGAGGAGTTTAAGTCCGTTTTATTGCCACAGATTATTATCGGAAGCTGTCTGTTTTCTTTGGATTTGGTCAGCTTGGATTTTGCAGTGAAAATCTCCTCGCGTAACGAGCAAATCTCCGTGAAAGACTCTCGGTCAGTTACGCTGAACACCAGCAGGAATATGTCACCTGTTGAAGTCATAAAGCACATGAAATTAGATCTTTGTAAACCACGGGCTATAATTAAACGATTTAAAGAACACTAATTGAGTAAAAACACGGTGCACATACTGACCTGTCAGAATAGACAGTCTTCGCTTGGCCGGAAAGTCTCTCTCTTTGGACGCGTCCAGGATGTCTAACTGGTATCTCTCTCCTCGGATGTGGTAGAGTTTGCTGTGAAAGTCTTCGGTCGTTGGCTCGTACTGTTCCTCGAATCCATCATCACCCAAAAAACGGCGTATAGTCGCCGTTTTACCCACTCGGGGCGCGCCGAGCACAACTATGCGCCGGTAGTGACTGGGTTTTACGCTGACCAGCTCGTCGTTTTTACTCTCATATCTCATATGCTTTGTTTTATGGAGCTGAGACGCGGAAAAGGGATCCAGAGATCTCCTGGGTTTGCGTTCAGACGACGAGGGTCGCTTTCCAGTGCTGGAGGTGCGCACCACTCGCGCCTTTGGCTCTGGATGTCTCCAGTGCGACGCGCACTGCAAATGCATGTCAGCTGTTGCGGTGCCTTCGGAATGATAGCTGCAACAGGAGAGCGTCGCGGTGCCATCAACTGAAAGAAGAGCTTTATCAGTTGTGTTCACCTCCATGCTCCTTGCTGGTATCATCCAGAACGGCTGGTGGTGAGGTCGGCAGGACGGCTGTAGGGGAGGCGCAGCACCCCGTGCTCTCGGTGCAGTGAGTTGTGCACGGTTCCCGCAGTGCTTTTTATATGCTGATGATGGATGGGTGGTCTCGTGTGGTGCGTCATTCAACGCTTAGGGCTGAACAATTCTGCTGCCTATTTAAGGTATTGCCCACCGCATTGTTACTTGGATATGGGCCATTATTATGTAGAGCTACAGAGTATTGTCAGTTAAATGCAGCTATAATGCAGACTTAAGTCCTGTTCATATCATTACTGACGAAGTTAAAAGTTTTAATTTTCCAGCTTAATTTGGAGTGAAAGATGCTTGAAAAATCTTAATAATACTGTAAAAATGTAGCCATTTCTCCCATAAAATGAGTTTTGTTGATATAAATTAATGTATTTAGGTTGATTGAGTGGCGTTAAATATTATGTTTGACTTGAAAGACCATTCTATTTTTCAATGTATTGTCATAAATAATTGTACATTTATATAAAATACATGGAAGAACAAGTTAACAGCATGATTTTGAGTGTGATATTTTCTTTATAGTTCAATAAAAGTAATAAAGAGTAACTTACTCTCATTCAGAAGTTTAGGGTCAGAAAGATTTTAAAATGTTTTTTTTTTGCATTTATTACGTAAACATTTTGTAAAGTAATATTGTGAAATATTACAATTTAAAATATCAGTGTTCTGTTTGAATATATTTTAAGATGTGATGTGATGCAAAGCTGAATTTTCAGCATCATTACTCTTTTCAGTCTTCACTGTCACATGCAGTGTTGGGGAGTAATTAGTTGCATGTAACAGAATTACTTAATTGAATTACAAAATAAGGTTACACTTTATTTTAAGGTGTCCTTGTTACAGTGTAATTACATAGTCGCCGTTTTACCCACTCGGGGCGCGCCGAGCACAACTATGCGCCGGTAGTGACTGGGTTTTACGCTGACCAGCTCGTCGTTTTTACTCTCATATCTCATATGCTTTGTTTTATGGAGCTGAGACGCGGAAAAGGGATCCAGAGATCTCCTGGGTTTGCGTTCAGACGACGAGGGTCGCTTTCCAGTGCTGGAGGTGCGCACCACTCGCGCCTTTGGCTCTGGATGTCTCCAGTGCGACGCGCACTGCAAATGCATGTCAGCTGTTGCGGTGCCTTCGGAATGATAGCTGCAACAGGAGAGCGTCGCGGTGCCATCAACTGAAAGAAGAGCTTTATCAGTTGTGTTCACCTCCATGCTCCTTGCTGGTATCATCCAGAACGGCTGGTGGTGAGGTCGGCAGGACGGCTGTAGGGGAGGCGCAGCACCCCGTGCTCTCGGTGCAGTGAGTTGTGCACGGTTCCCGCAGTGCTTTTTATATGCTGATGATGGATGGGTGGTCTCGTGTGGTGCGTCATTCAACGCTTAGGGCTGAACAATTCTGCTGCCTATTTAAGGTATTGCCCACCGCATTGTTACTTGGATATGGGCCATTATTATGTAGAGCTACAGAGTATTGTCAGTTAAATGCAGCTATAATGCAGACTTAAGTCCTGTTCATATCATTACTGACGAAGTTAAAAGTTTTAATTTTCCAGCTTAATTTGGAGTGAAAGATGCTTGAAAAATCTTAATAATACTGTAAAAATGTAGCCATTTCTCCCATAAAATGAGTTTTGTTGATATAAATTAATGTATTTAGGTTGATTGAGTGGCGTTAAATATTATGTTTGACTTGAAAGACCATTCTATTTTTCAATGTATTGTCATAAATAATTGTACATTTATATAAAATACATGGAAGAACAAGTTAACAGCATGATTTTGAGTGTGATATTTTCTTTATAGTTCAATAAAAGTAATAAAGAGTAACTTACTCTCATTCAGAAGTTTAGGGTCAGAAAGATTTTAAAATGTTTTTTTTTTGCATTTATTACGTAAACATTTTGTAAAGTAATATTGTGAAATATTACAATTTAAAATATCAGTGTTCTGTTTGAATATATTTTAAGATGTGATGTGATGCAAAGCTGAATTTTCAGCATCATTACTCTTTTCAGTCTTCACTGTCACATGCAGTGTTGGGGAGTAATTAGTTGCATGTAACAGAATTACTTAATTGAATTACAAAATAAGGTTACACTTTATTTTAAGGTGTCCTTGTTACAGTGTAATTACATGTTTAAGTAGTTAGTAATATTAATTAACTACATGTACTTACTATATGGTTAGGGTTAGGATTAGGGTTTGGCTTGTGTTACTTGCATGTAATTACGCATAATTAATTGTTATTATAATAGTAAGCACATGTAACATGTAACAAGGACATCTTAAAATAGTGTTACCCAAAATAAATGTAACTGTAATCAGTTACAGTTACTGAGACAGAATGTGTCATTAAATTAGTTACTTATGAAAATGTTAAAGATTACAAAAGGGATTACATCTGAATTTATTTCACACACATGCCGATTGAATTGATTTCTTTCATAAATTGCATTGACTGCTGTAAAATATGAGACACCAATGTTTCAGGAGTTTAGGACACAGAATAGGACACGTGCTTATTCGATAACGGTTTTATTTGGGTGTATGCTTTATTTTTTCAGATTAGCTGTTTTTCCAAGGCATTGTTAGATGCCAGTGTTTCCTGTCATAGCAATGCAAAGATTTGATTTCAAAAACATTATCATAGCTATTAAACTATATCTTATGCTTTTAAATCCGTATTTAACCTCAGAACGATCTCAAAGTAAAAAGAGGTGCTAAAGTCGGATTTTGTGGTGGCTGTGCTTTAAAATTCAATTATTATAATAATTCAAGTGATGAAGGATTTGGAAAGTCTGACAGTAATCAGTGTTGAGCACTACTGTAAGGTAAACCCTTCCTGCTTTAAATGATTCAAAATGAGCAATAGTTGAAAACATTAGAAATTTAGAAAAGTAATCAAATGTAATCAGTTACATTTTTTAAATAAAGTAATTGAAATAGTTACACTACTTATTACATTTTAAACAGGGTAACTTGTAATCCGTAACCTATTACATTTTCAAAGTAACCTTCCCAACACTGGTCACATGATCCTTCAGAAATCATTCTAATATTCTGATTTGCTGCTCAAGAAACATTTCTTATTATTATCATTGGTTTTCCAACCAAGCAAAACCAAAGCCGGTCTGGAACGGTACACACTGCTCAGGTCTGAAATGTTGTAATAAGATAAGCAAAGTGATACAGACAATGAAAAGTCCCAGTGCTTTTGTGCTAAATATAAGCACTCTTGTAACACTGCTCAAATAATCAAACCCATGAACCAGAACCAACTGTTGTATAAAATTGTTTTTGAAATAGGTACGACAATGTGCAGCTTTCAGTATAGCGGCATGAGTAGCATGTGGGTGGCAATATTTCAGCTTATTTCCCTCCGTCGTCTGGATAATTATGGGGTTGCTAATGACTGACTTTCCAAAATATTTATTGAACACAGCTTAATTTTCATTTACTGAATGATTTCCTGATGGATAGCCCATTTTATGTGTGTGGGCACACAGGAACATTTGGTCAAAGAGGTAAAGGTTTATGCCCTTCTGTTTGTGTGTGTGTGTGTGTGTGTGTAGATGAGACTGGTACCTCGGGAATTGCATCAATATGAATGAGTCTGTTTCACATCCCATTAATCCCTATGTGCGTAATGATGCTGATGGCTCTCTTTTAATAGAAATAGAAAAACAGCTGACATTAAACTAATCCAAGCATCACGACAATATTCTATATAGGTATGATCACGACCATCATTCTCTCTTGCAGCTGACAATTGATTTGAACAGAGCTCTAAGCTTGTGGAAAAAGTGCACTTTCACATACTTTGGAAGATTTTAAAAGAATATACTTAAGTGTGAACCGACTGTAATGTTTTCAGACCCTTAAGTGCATGTTATTTACAATTAAATGAAAATATATCGTTTGAATTTATATTAAATGCAGTTATCTGAACTTGAGTGTTTTTTTTAACCCACTTGTAGGAAAGTAGGACTTAGGAATATTTTTATATGTAATTTCATAATTACTTTATTGTCTTTGAAATATATAGTTAAAGTGAACTGCTGAATGTACTGACAAACTTTTATGGTAAACTAAAAATATACTTTAATGTAATTTCTAGAGAAACCGTATGTTGTTTTCAAATATATTTGTAGGATGAGATTGCAATTGAGTGCACTTATATTAACTTCAAATGTAATATCAAATAACACACAGTTAAAATTATAATCAATTATTTTACATGTGCTGTAGTATGTTAGTCAACACATCAAAATAAGTGTACTTTAAAACATGCTAAGATTACTAAAATGTAATGATTTAAAATGCATTTTAAAGTAAAACCTGTAGTTTGTGTTTGTAACGAAAATTAGTATGTGCTTAATTGTCATGAAAATAATGTAATTATTCGAAACATTTAAATGTTCCAAAAAAGGCCCAAATATTTGGGTGAAATATCACCATATTCAAGAATTATCAAGAACATTCTGGCAATATGAGAGCATCTGCAAAAAAGACAAATCCTCACCTTCTGCTGCGTAAACAGCACCTACATCTCTGAGAGTCTCAGCTCGACTCCATTCGCTCAAGGCTACTCTGAATGGACTGAGTTGGTGCACGGTGTGCTTTTGCTTTTCTTCTAAAATGCTTACCTTGGAGTGCTTGAGACTAAATGTTCTTGCAGAGAATGGAATATGCATCACCATGGCAACTCTGCACTTTCTATCACTGGTTTCCAGAATCTATTCCATAACTCTTAAAAGCAGAGGACATGTCTTTTGTGAGCCATCACAATATCACTCACTCCTCTGTAAGGCCTTGTGTTCAGTTTTATGACCCTGCTTTCCATTGTGCTGAGATGTTCCGAGAACTTGGAGGCACGTATGGCATGTATGGTTTCTCATCAGTAGAATTCACTATTTAAAAGTAAGTAAATGT